ACTTCACCACCCCGAATTATATATATGAATCTCCACACACCACCTGTGCTACTTACATAAACTTGATCCCAAACTCTGAACCCGGAAACACGTAGCCCTTAACCCCAGGCCAACACTTGCACCCAGAAATCCATCCTAGGCGGTTTCCCGTTGTGCAGCAGGTGCTTCTACGAGACTAGCCTGCTAGCTTGATGCTAGCCTTTGCCAAGCCTTTGTGTTGGGTCTTGCCACGTTGTGCTGGTTCTTGCCACATCCTTCAAGTAATGGTCCTTGATTAGGGTTTAGGGCTCAGGGCTTTTGGGGCTCAATTTTCAACGAAAATGGGAACTTCCCCGCGCAGATTCGGAAGCCCTGTCTTCATACGAGAACCAGAAGCTGAAACCTGACCACCCGTTGTTTCATAGGGTTTAGGTTTAGAGCTAAGGTCTGGGTTTTGGGGATGCAATAACAACAAACATCCTTCCCCCTAATCACAAGAAATCCCCACAATATACAATGGCGGTATACGGGGGATCTGTTTTTTGTGGCGGGGTTCTTAGCAGGATGCTTAGAGGACAAACCAACGAAGCACTAGCGAGGCACACGACGCCCAACAGAGGGCTTCCGATAAGGAAAGCCTGCTGGCAGTTGCTTACCTTTGATTAGCTGGGAATGAGGAACGAATCCTTATAACTGTAGAAGCCCCTAAGCAACCCACTGTAGTAGTTGACATTTTCTCTTCCATTCCTTCACTCGCAGCTAACCAAAGGTAACGTTAGCTAGGGATGGATGTTTTCGTTAAACAAAATGCTCTGCAGACTCGTGCGTGTGCCGAATTTCGCCTGGGGTACCTCGCGCGATCTGAGGGCTTAGGGCTTCAGACCGGCACTTGCGGTCTGGATTGGCCCTGAAAGCCCGTTCGAAATTTTTTCGTATACCGGGTCCCCTATTAACGCCATGCTGGAAAACATAAAATGTCCCAGGGGCCTGCCCAGTAGTAGTATATCATTCTGCGTGTACAAATCTTCTTGGCAATTCTCAAGGCTCGCTGAGAAACTACTGATGGAGATGTGACAGCTTGCCGACAAACACCTACCAAAAGCACACCACCCGATTCTTACAAACCTGTATCTCTTTGTTCATGACTTTATCAAGCTATGGGTCATCCCTGGAAGAACTCGATTCGGCATGTTACGCCTGACTCCTGATCAATAACACTTTCTGCTTCAGCCGCGATAGAATGCTCGGCAACTAAGGGCCCAGAATGACGAAGCAAACACGTTCTTAGCCGGGGATTTGTCTTTCACTGGTAGAACTCGCAAAATGATGGTCCCTTGAAGCCCCGCGATGAAATGAAGTACTCGAAGCCTTCTCATCCACGCCCTCCAAAGAGGGGCCCTTCACTTGGGATGTTCTAGAAACAGGGACGCCGGCACACCCTTCATGTGCGATGTCCAAAAAAAACCCTAGGCCCTAAACCCCAATATATCAGGATTTCCACTATGCTTGCCGAGCATGAGAAGAAGGGTGCCTTCTTCCAGATCGTTTGATTTATAGGAAGCTACAAATATAACCCGCACAAGTGGAAACAGGCCAAAGGTTTCCTAGGGTGTAGAGAATACAGCGCGAAGTGGTTTAGCCGTTCTGGGCTGACCGCACGTCGCTACCCCAGTGTGCTCTAAGTGAGATACTCTCAGGACAGTTCGACGGCATAGAGTCTACGGCCTAATGCTAGGGATAAAAAGAATTCCTCAAAGTGCTGCCGCATCCGCAGAAATTACAGTCAGTGCTGCCCTATGAGGGTCCCGGCTTTGGATGCTTTCACGCGAACATAATTTGACTGGAGAGTCATTTGGTATACATGCAGGACTCATGAGGCCGCAGGGATACGGGGATTGCTGCACGATGGCGAACTTGTCCTGAGGATACACAGGGTTTCGGTCTTGCAGCTATTCTTGTGCCACCCAAATATTACACGCCAACACGATGACACTTGCACGGCAGTCCAACCACGTGTAACATCCAAACTTTCCATACCAGTCCTCTCTGCAGAACTGACGGACGGCTTTAGGCAATCTGTACCATTCCGGGCTTTGGGTTCCAGAAGTTTGAGGTGTGGCGCCCTGTAAGAGGGTTCGGGGTTGTCTTGCTTTTTCAACATCCTGCCCAGCGTCATGTATGCCAAGGTAGGAAGTTTCTTGTTGAGATTCGGCTTCTTGCAGATGGTGCTTGGCTTCCTTCCTTGTTAGCACTACAACAAGACAACCGACGCGGAGTAAAACACAAAATGATGCACACGTCAACCAGCTTCCGAAGCTCATGAGCCTCCGAGGAACCCCCAAAATAGTATGCCTAAACCCGAAACTCTCTAACAAAAACTCCCTAAACACGAAAAAGAACCACATAAAAAAGCAATAAACACACATACAGTGGGGTAGTCTGAGGCACCAGAATAGCCGGCGGCCTTGCCTTCGACAAAGATCCAGCTGCATTAAGAAAATGGGATAAATCTACACATGCTTCAGACTCCCGAAGCTGTAAAACTCAGACAGAAACGTCAGCGATCTTCCTCTGTGCTACACATGGCAAAAGTATCTCTGTTATGACTAAACCTAGTTTTGATGAGAACTGGACCTGGTTCCGGTAGAAAAGGGTGGAACTCAAACCCTAAACCCTAAATCGTAGTTTCCATGTTTTGACAAAAATAGGGCTTTCCTATTCACTTCCAGCTGCGACAGGTCGCAGATTAAACTGCTTCCGATGCAACCTCAACACTGCTGTACTGTACCTACTGCAAGGCAGTAATGTTTGATTTGTATCTCCGTTATCACAATATTACCCTAACATTTCCATCAATCTAACGCCAATATGACCCTCGTATTATCGAGGCAGTATTCCAGCTGAGACTTTCTGTCTGTCACCTGTCGGAGCCGTGCTCTGCGGTCAGGGAGGAAAATCAGGGCTCTCCAGAACGAGGGGTTCCCTTGAAAGGGTTCCTGTAAGGGCTTTATAAGGGATCTATAGCAGTAGGGGGTGCCCTTTGTTTGGACAAAAATTAGGCATGATCATGCTTTTGGGGCCTATATTGCGGTCCACCTATCTTGGGAAAATCTGAAATCTGCTTTCAAACCGCCTGCTGGCAGCTAAAGCCAGAAGCGCCCTGCGATTCGTATCTTCGACGTGCACGTCGTCCTGTACTCGCCGAGAAGAGGTAATTTAGGAGTTGTTACATCCAAAGCAGTGGTCCAAGGTTGAGGACTTGGGGTAAAGTTTTAGGGCAGAAGGTGCATCCAAAGCCAGAGCCGCCTACAAACGCACAGACCCGCAATGTGAAACAGTACAGTACAGTAGGCTTTCCGCAACACTAAACCCATCGAGTCCTAATCTAAACTCCTTGTATCCCCCAGAATAACCCATCATACTCATCTATATAACCCCTTACATAACCCTCTTTAAGGAGTGTAAATCATGGCTCATACAGTGTTCAATGACGACACATCTGTTGCTTTGATTCTAGAAAGGATTTAGGCCCTAAAGCCTCAACCCTAAACCCTGTGCAGCTACAAGACCACAGATGTCAGCTGGTCTACTAAGGTTTCCAAAACGACAATAAACTTTTGCATGGGGCTTCTCAAGAACCGCTTCAGGCATGCCGTTTAAACGATAACTGTAACCAACATTCTCGGCTTGGGCATAAAATGGAGTTCGCATCTTGCCCAGCAAGATCTTATGCCTAAACTCCAAGTATCCCCCTTAATGACCCCTACGAAGTTGCCCTATATAATCCCCCACTCCCTTGAAGGAGTTCCCTGGAGTTCTCGAACCAGCCTATGGCTGCAACGTCAGGGGGTTCTTCAAGCTTCTAATTCCTTTCTTCGAAAATTACACCCCCTGATGTCAGAGAATCTGAAAATCCTGAAGAGAGCCTTCTCAAAGGGCAAGCTACTTTCACAAGGGGCCTGCTAATAATGAACTGACGACGGGTCCTGAAGTCATTAGGGGGGCATGATAAGGAATCAGAACGAATTCGGGATCTCTGTTATTTCCTCGACGTCAACATAGCGCTTATACAAGTAACATATATATATATATATATATAAACAGATAGAGAGACACACGATGTTATGCATCGTTGGTTCGATTGTTGATTCCATTTTCGTTGGATTTTGGGCAGGTTTTTATTGGTTCGACCAATGAAAAATCTGATTAGATTTCAATGATCTTACTATGATCTTAACTGGACTTGAAACGGATTTACATCGGCTGTACTTGGGGTTGAACTAGATTCCTATTGGTTCTTAAACATGGTAAGATGGCAATTGATTTTGCCTTGAATCGATCTTAATTAGATTTTAACTGGGTTTTGATTCAAATAACTGTTACTTGACATATCTAGGCATCAACTAGATTTCAAAACAGAGCCTGCCCTGTCTGATGTTTCCAGTAACTGATACAGAAATGATTACACAAATGAGGGGCGGATAGCCCTAAACCCTGTTTTCTGGAGCTATTTGCACTCGGCATTTCTTTCCGTTTCATTGCTAACAGGCCCTTCTGTTGGTAGAAATGTCCCTACTCATCTCTCTGGGAAGCCTGAAACTGAAACTAGAAGTTCGACAACCGCTTTGTAGTTGCCGGTGCTTAAGCGGAAGTGGGAGAATGAATGTAGGGCCTATTGTAGGGTGTGATACAAAGTTAGAGGTATCCCCTTCAGCACCAGTAAGTGACCAGGGGCTCGACAAGATCTGAACACCAAGGTCCATGATGCTGCTTCTTGCGCGCCTCCTTTATATCGGACCTTCGAAGCTCTGACTTTCGAATTTAATTAAGCCTAAGACCATTCAAATGTGCTTTCATGGTAGCCTCAAAGAAGAGAATCTAGCATGAATATCCTGTGATATACCTACAAGGGCCGCTATGCTCTGGTTGCATTGTTCCTACCATATTCTTGGGGTTCCTGCTTCAGTCATCTTATTTAAGCCCCTTAAGACCATAACCTCTGACCTCAACTCACGTGCTCCTCAAACATCATGAGGGATGCCAGGAAGAACGTTCGCCCAGGCCTTCACCAGGTTCAAGGCACTGGTTGCTTATCAACACATGGCCTAATAAGATCACTGACATTGAACGTGTGAAGCAGCGTGCCAAGAAAAACGAAATACCAGTCGCCGTCATTGTCCCCGTCGTTCTCATCGCCGTACTCGTCGTGGTACTCGTTGCGGTCGTCTTCCCTCGTCATCGTCCGTCATTGTCGTCTCCATCTTAACGGAAGTTCAATCTTGTTCCGGTACAGCTTGGGCTTACGCTACACAACAGAAATTTTTCTTCGTCCTGCTCCTCCTCCTCCTACTACTACTGCTAGGACTACTGCTACTACTACTACTACTACGACGACGACGACTAAGAAGACTGCTACCACTAGGCATAGTACTACCGCTACTACCACGCTACGATTACTATTGATACTATTGAGGCAATGCCCCACCGGGTTTGTCACGGAACAGATCAGACTCCACAAGATGACGGGGCTTCTGCGGGAAATCCTCCTCCTGCCCTTCATAAACCCCCAAGCCTGAGGGTTTCGCAAAATGCCAGTTGTGCTACCAATTGTAGGTGAAAGAAATCGTTGTAATTACTTGTGATGCAAGCTTCTTCGGCAAGGAACCCAACCGTTAGGTTTCAAAAAAAGTCCGTCATCCTCTGCTTGGTGGAGAAAAACTGAAGCCTTCAGCAAATCTTCTAATCCAATTCTTGGGCAAGGTCCTAGATTGGCTACGGAAATAATCCCCAAGTAATGTAATTTTGTAGTTCCAGCCCAACTGCTTTGATAGCCAGACAAATACGTGAAGTTCCTTCATGACTCAAAGTGGGCACTAGCGAACTTCTGAAACATCTTTTCCGTGTGCTGTTTTTTTTCTTCTTGTGCCTGCAAAATCGCAGTTTCCCAGCATGATCCCGTACATTTTTTACACGGACCCCGAGAATCCTCTGCTACATATCCTTGGGGAACTTACAATGACCCAACCTTTAAGAAACTCCCAAATGTCTTGCACTGTCTGACCCACCCACGCGCCTGCTGCTGAGGGGCCTGTTCAGTGCGATGACCCCGGGCGAATCCTGACAGAATTGGTACTTTCCATACATTGGGGCGTGGCCCCAATAAAGATGTCTGGGGTATGGGGATTAGGGTTTCATTTTCAATCTCTAGGGTTTGGGGATGTGGTCGTTTCCATTAACAGGGGGACCACACTACAGACTTCTGAATATTATGATCCTTAATATTAGGGCTCCCCAAAGAGAGCCTCTAAGCTTTTGGGAGCCCTCAATGGGGGGCCTCGCGAACTCTCGAACTACTGATGTGGAGTACCCCTCTTATTCCCTTAGCAAATGGCGAGAAGACTCAACGCCCAGGATTCCCATGGGGCATTCTGCAAGAATTGATATGACGACTGAATATTTGCAAGCTCTCTGGTTATTCGTAGCGGAGCGGATCAACAGGAATGATTATGTGGGGACTTCTTTTCCTTCATGCACTACCAGCCGCCATCAAAAGAATAAAGAGGCAGGTTGATAGGCTTTCATTCCCCGAACAATTTACTTCACGGGTCCTCAATTCTTTCTGACTTCCGACCCAGCCGGATGGCTCTGCCGGGTCTGTGGATCCTTGTCTCCGCTTGTGTCCTCTTTGTCTCCCTTATGTGCGTGGCCTCGGGCCGGGTTTATGGAATGCTTGTGTCCGCTTGTCTCCCTTTGTCGCCCACCATCTGGGTGGCCCTGGCCGGATCCCTGGAATACTTCGCCCTTCATGTGGGTAGCCTCGGGCGGGCCCCTGGAATACTTGTCTCCGCTTGTCTCCCTTCATGTGGATGGCCTCGGCCAGATGCCTGGAGTACTGTCTGCTTGTCTTTTCTTGTGTCCCTTCATGTGAGTTGTCTCGGCCGGTGGGCCCTTAACCCAGGCATCCTTCTACACCTCCTACATACACTATGAGTACCCTGACGGGTCCGTAGAATCACACTAAAAAGGCTGCAGAGCCCAAAGTAGGGGCGCTACTTCTAACCTTAAACACGATTGACATCAGTAACAAGATATGCTATACTATTCTAATAAGTAAAGGAATCTTGGTGACCCAACCCCAAGATGAGGACCTTGTTAGAGTCTACAAGTCTTGGGATTGGGGCCTCCTCCTCCTCTCCTTCATCGCAACACAAGGGCGAGCAAGTAGAAGCACTAGCAGCAGCAATGCCAATAACTTATACCGGGCAATAAGCGACAGGAACAATACTAGGTAATCATAAGCAACAAACGGTGAGCAATGAGTAATGGGTAATGAGCACGAAGCAACAAAAGTAACAGGTGTTCAGAACTCCAGTAAGGATGACAATGCGTATTTCTGCTTCTTGCACCACTGTCGCAGCTGCTGGTATTATGACAGCAGCAGAACCACTTGTATCAAAAGTCAACAGTGACCGTTCCTTGACCCCACAGGAAAGCCTAAAGCCTGAGCCCTGAAGCTCTACCAACACACCCTTGGTAAACCCTCCGAACCCTAAACTTTACTAAAGCCCTTGTCCCCAAACCTTGAACTCGCATACCCTCATCCCTAAACCACAAACCCTGGTCTCTGCATCCCAAGGCTGTGCAAGCCTCCTTCAAGTCTCGCTTCAGAGAACTGGGAGAAATTGGAGTTGCGACGATCGGGAGGAGCTTCCTGTATGAACTCAAGGGCTTTCAAGGGTTTAGGGTTTACTGAGCCCTGGAAATCTAGGATGTACTGCACGGTGGCCCCCATAATGCTCCCCTGTAACCCCAAACCCTAAAACCGTAAACGTTAAATCCCCTTTAAGGAATTTAGAATCTAGCCGACTCTTGCCCATGTGGAGGCAAAGTCTGGCAGCTTCTTACACTGAGCCACTTCGTTGAGAGGGGACCGGTTCCGAGGGTTCCTTCTTTACTCTTTACGATAAGAAATGGTTGTTCCCAAAACAGTACATATAGACCCCAAGATGCTGCAGTCCTTACTTTATTACAGTGACCCCCAAAATGGTACCTCTAATTTTGAGAAACCCGAAATTCCTTCCCCAATTCGCAGGTCAGAATGAAGAAGCTCAGGGATGTGGATGGCCTATTGCGGCCCGGACCTATTGAGGCGAGGATAAACATGAACCAAGTCCATCGAATAAGGGACAAGTACTGAACGAAAACCCAACACCCACACCCCCAAGCCCTAAACCCCAAATCTTAAACCCTGAATCCTCAATCCTATCCCCTCAAACCTAATCCCTAAGTCAGCCCTGCGCAGGAGTGCAAGTTTGCCTCCTCTGGCTCTTTGCCAACTTGCTCCTCGCAGCTAGGGAGATTCGGATGTTTCATGGAAACCCACCACATTTCGAAGAGAGTTGAAGGTTTAGGATTCAGGGTTTCGGGTTGAGGGCCCCTCGCTCCCTGTTGGGAGATGATCAGAAATTAGACTTGTATATGGCTTATCGGGCTTTGGAATAAGCTACCGATTGAAAACAACGTCCAACAATGACGCTCAAGAGCACAGGGTCAAGGCTTGGAGTCACAGAGATTACACATTCACAGGCTTCTCCTTCGGAGCTTTTCTAGGGTAAGTTGCGTGAGGTGAGCTTGAAGCAAAGATCACGGGCCATGGAATTGGTGCATAAGGCCCGGTGTTACCTCGCAAACAATACCGAAGTCATCCCACAGCCCGAAGGAATCACCAGCATTGAGGCACCAACTAGTCATCCTGCTTCACATGCAGGGAGGACTATAATCTACGATAATAGTGATAGACAGGATAAAACTACAACATACTTTGCATAGACTTTAAGCAGAATATATTCGACTGTGCTTTACTATAATTCACTATAAACACACTATAACACATTATATTTTACTTTACCATAAAATACGATAAATACACTATAATATGCTACACCATGAATCCCCCCCATAGCCTCGCCATCTGCATAGCCTTCAAGCCATTGCGCTTCAATCCTGGACAAATGGTTTGGAGTTTAGTTGCTTTTTTGAGCTCCTTGCTTCCGCCTGCAAGATCCTGAGTTCAGGGTTTAGATCTTAAGGGTCTGTCTACTAGGGTTTCGGGTTTAGGGTTCAGGGCTAGGGCTCAATCACCTCCCCAAAAAAGAACGCTTTCGGACAAACGCACATTCCTGTAGTAGTCTCCATGGAAGCCCCCGCAAAGTGTTCTGTAATCATGTCTCATGACCTGCTAAGCACCACGCAACGCAGTTCAGTTGGCAGCTTGCTCATGTGCTGTGGGAAGCTGTACAGTTTGCGCCGGGTGCTGCGCATCTGAATGGAGAAAGTTGCACATTTGACAGAATTTAGGCGAAGCTACAGGCTCCTAACGTCGTCTATGGCTGTTCTCCAAAATATGGGTCTACCTTGGTTATGGAGTATATGACCGCAAAAGGGACCCTAATTCTTGGAACTACCCATGTAGTAGCTGCTCTGCCCAAAAGGCTTTCAGCAGCCCGTCCTTCTGCGAATCCCCTTGCTCAGCAATGCCACCGATGCCATCAGGCCGAGTGCCAAAGCGAGGAACAAGGGAAGTATCACCAAGTCCTGCAAAGCAACTAGAACACAGCTGGCTGAAGAACAGTAACCAAGGGCGGGAAAGCAACAACAGCTGGATAAACGGTATGGCCTCGCAATGAGCAAGACTGTGATGTGTGGTGGAAACCAGGTATGGTGGCATGCAACAAGTGACCGAAAACACGGGAAGGGACGGCTAGCCATCAGTTGGCCTGTTTGATGATGGTAGTGGGTGGAAGCGCTAGGTTCCAGTCGCTCCGGCGATGATGCAGCCTGCTACGCCAACACCTCCTCAAAGGGCATTTCGACCAAGGGCTGGCCTCCAATTTTACGCAGATTTAAACCAGCATTAAAGAAGTGAAGCGCGATGCGCACACACGAATTGGTGATATGAGTACTCTCTATCTACTACGACTGCTGCTGCTGCTGGTGGCCGAGAAGGCGCTGCCGGCGGCGGCGGTGACGCTGGCAGAATATGGCAGATAGCTACAACGGTTGCCCTTGTACCTGGAACTACCCCTTTCACGAATGTGTCTCGCATGGGCGGGTTTGGCTTGTGCGTGGGTTGTGCGGAAAATCCTGCCGGTGGGCGGGGGGGCTTCAGCTCCCAATGCAGACGCGTGTCGGCCATGAGTCCAGGAGCAAACAAAAAGCAGTGAGAATAGCAGTACTCTATTTGTACGAAGCATGCTAACTGCAGCATAGAAATACAACGAGTGGTCAGACTTTGCCGTCAAGAGCCCAAGCATGTCCTGGAGTAAGCTCATGCCAGTGCTCATGTACCAGCCGTGCGCATCTGCCAGGCGGACGTTCGCCAAGAACAGCATCGTGTAAACCAAGCAAACAAGCCTCCATTGCCAGGCTGATGGTGGAGGGCTGGAGGTGCAGGGCTTTTTGGGTTTGGGCTTAGACTTGCCAAGCAGCGAATAGACCAACCAAATCAACCAAAAAGCCAGGGCTCGGCAGTTCCAAACCCTCAACTGCCACTTCTTCGACCTTTCTGTCCAGTCCTTCACTGTGGGAGGAGCTTTTCCAAAAAACTGTTTCAAGGGTTCCCTTCAACATGATTTGGTTCTTTTGTGGTGTCTACAGGGGAGCCTTCTTCGAATTACGCTACCAGAAACCCAAGAACATGGCAGTTGGCAAGCTTGGGGCTCCTTGGTTGAGGCCTTGGATTCCTGGGCCCTGGGCCCTGAGGCTATGAAATCGACATCTAGCGCTTCGACTGCGTACCTAAATGAGATTCGGGCTTGCGGACCGCCAGGAAGAGGGGTTCACAGAATGCCCAAGATACCAAGCTTTGGGGGCCTCCGAGGGATGCGGAGGCTCCCTCCTGAAACCCTAAACCCTGGGCCCTCAACCCTGATTTAAACCCTTAACCTTCATGAGAAGATGAAAGCAAGAGAAGCTGTCCGAAAGATCTTAGGGTTTAGTGTTCCGGATTTGTTCTCTAAATACAGCCCTGGCCGCCTTCGTGACGGCGTTTAAGGCTTTGGATTTAGGGCTTAGGGTGGAGGGTTCAACGTGTAAAAACCGAAGCTCGCGGCCACAGCCTCCGCAGCGAAAGATAACAACAGGCTTGCGCGGGGAAGACTCCGTTTTGCCAAAATACATGCTGCCAGGCAGACCGCTCAAGAATTGGAGTATTTTGGCTTGCCCTGAATTGCTTCTGTGTGGGAGGTTTGTGGGGATTTGGCTCCGACTGCACATTGCAAACTTCAAGGGGCACGCCTGGATCCACACTCTGAACCAAACCTCGCACCCAAAATCTATTACCCTAAGCTTTGGGTCACAGGTTTAGGGTATTTCTGCGTGCCCCCTCGATGTTATAATATGGTCCCCCGTAACTACTGACAAACACAATCTGAAGAGCCAGCCGCAGTCCTTTTCTATGGGACTGCGATTTTGAACCTCAGCTTGTTGGCGAGACTCCACTTCATGCCTTCACTTCTGCTCCAAGCAGTATTGCTATCTCTTTCTGTTGACGTGCCAGTTCTCCTTTCAAGCACCTCCTACCCCAGGCCTGCCTGTTACCCTAGGGCTAAACCCTAAGCTCTAAAGCCTCAACCGTGTGATGGTATCCCGAGCCAAGACACCAAGAAGAGAGTGAAGATGATGACGTCACCGAGCAGTGCAGAGGCCACGCCCACCACAGTATTCCTTTGGGTTGCTGTTGCTAAGGAACCTATTCTAAATGACCATCATGGGTATCTCCTTCATCTGGTGACTTACACTAGCAATCCAATCCTGGCGGCACCATGTTGGTGCATGTTTTTGCGGCTGGCGGTTTGCATGGACTGAAAACCCCACGTGGAGCCTCACCATAATCAAAAGCCTCGTTGCCATCTAGTGCTAATGAAGAAATCCCAATTCCCAAAAACCAAAATCCTTGAACTCCGCCGCTCTATATGTATTAGGTGCATGGTCTCGAAAGAAGCCTGCTCAAGACTTAGCCCTGTGAAACTGGCTCAATCTGAAACCACTGGAGCTTGTGGGTTTGCATGCAGGTTTCTGGCCAATCATTCGTTGGCGTCAACCACTATGCGGGAAAGTGTTTAGGATTAAACTCTGATACGACGCAAGGCTGCTTCGGGTGATAGCTCTCAGGGATTGCGACTCGAAGTTTGTGGAGTTTCCACCTCCGTGCATGTGGCAAGAATCACAGCTCCAACCCACTCCCCATTCCATTTAGATATGTCCGCCAATATCCCATGTCTCTGAATTGAATGACCGAGAACATTCAATATTAGGGAGTGCTTCGGGAGCATACCAGGGTTTAGGGTTTTGGGTAAATAGGGTATTGGGGTTGAGGGTTTAGGGTACTATTCTTCGTGTGAAAGTGAAGTGGATTACGTGAAGAAGATCGAAGGTTCCCTCTACTGGAATACGTGCAAAAACCAGCTCTTCATACCAGAGCCCAATACCGCTTAATTGAGGACTATACCTTAAACTATAAAGGGGGCTTCAAAGTATTCTTTGAGCTATATTCCTTAATTGAGGGATACGGTATTGGGCTCTCTCAGCAGGCCATGTGCGTGCATAACGCATAGCCCATGCACCACATGCCCTTCCCACCAAAACTAACAATCCTAAACCCTAAGCCCGTCAACCCGATCACAGAAGGTTGCAAGTGTTTTTTCGCGTCAAGACATATCAGATTGCTCCTGGTGCGAATCAGTTCTTCGTGTTAGCTGGGGTTTAGGGTTTAAGGGTTAGCGGTTTAGGGTTCATGGTAGGAACGGAGTTGGCTGTGAACTGGAGGCGGCTCTTACGTGGGAGCTTCTTTAATTTGCGAGCGTCTCTGAAGGCCTTCTATTTGAAAAACCTTCAGGCCTCAATCCTCAACTCCAAGCCCCAAAACCGAAACTTCACATCCAAGATCCTAGCCTTAAGCTCCAAACGCGAACCCTGGACCAAAACCCACAGAAACCCTTACTCCGGCTGCTTGGCCCTAAGCCAAAACAAAACCCAAAACACCCCCCTTACACCCTAAACTCTAAACCCTAAGCGGCATAAGCAGCCATGTCTCTGCACAAGCTGCGCCACAAGAGTCTGTGGCTTCTTACAGCTTGGATCCGAGTCGGGACCCGGGGAGGAGCTCGTGAAGAACCTGAGCAGGTGGCACGGGTATGGGCAGTTTCGGGCTCCCTAATAAGCCCTACCCCGTTCGGCTTAGGCAATCTGGGGCTAAGGGCTTAAGTAGGTCGCATACCGGTCTCCGGTTTAGGGCTTAGGGAAAATGCGTTACAAGTCAGACGGTTGTGCTTCACATTCATCATCCTGCCCAGCAGCAAAGCATTGGTAGCCCCGGCGGTGCAGAGCTTCAAAAAGATCAGGGACACTCGCACCTCGAGGTCCACCGGGGTGTAAGAGGTAGTGCTCTAAAGGCTAAACTCCGAACCCCTACACTATAAGCCCTAGACCCAGCCCTCAAAGCCAGACCTTGTATGAGGTTAGCAGGCTCAGCCGCATCAATGCGATCCAGGGGTGGAAGGCGGGGAACAGGAGGCCAACACGCTTGTACCTCGGCTCTGCCAACAGGCTGGCTAAGGGACTATGGTTTTCATACATTCAGACTTGCAAAAACAATTTTTGAAATAGTTCCATGGAGGCACACTCCAACTACACAAACACCGCCATTCCTCAACCTGAACCCTACACCCTAAACTCTGAACCCTAGGCCCTAAACCCTAAGCCCTAAGCCCTGAAACCCTCACCCTAAACCCGAAACCCCAAGCCCTAAACCGCAATATAGGGGCCTTAATGTACACTATAATTGTAAGAAGGAACCCCACCATAGTATTGGTAATCATTTGGGCTCCTATGTTACGTGGGATTGGATTTCTAATAAACTACCATAATAGGGACCTATAATAAAATAAATTGGTTTCCTTAATGTGGTAACTAAACCCCACATCGTATGACTTGGCTCCGGTGCCAACGACTGTCGAGGATGCACTGCACGGTGCTGGCCCCATGGATGTGGACATTCCATCGGGCGCCCAAGTCCTAGGCGAATCTCGGCTTTGGGGTTCTGCGGCTTGGGGATGCCGGTTCTGTAGTTTTAGGGTTTGTTACAGCTATAGCTTTAAATGGCCCGGTTCTAGTTGTTGAGGCCTCTATGATATAGTACCTTATAGATCCCTTATAGACCCAAATAAAGGGAACCCTATTTCAACTATGAAAGCCCCTGTAATGAACCCTGTGCCAAAACAGAAGCCCAGATTCTCGAAGCGCCTTGCCGAAGCCGTCCATGTTGGTGCCCACTTCCTGGGAGGATTATCTAAAATCGACGCTCAAGGGCTTAGGGTTTTGGGTTGGGGTTTAGGGTTTAGGGTTGAGGGTTTAGGGTTTTTCGGTTGGGGTTTTATGGGTGTCGGGATGCAGGGTTTAGGGTTAGAGGGCTTAAGGCTTAGAGTTGAAAGTTGAGGGTTTTGGGGTTTCAGCTTTCACTTGAAGCGTCAGGCAGCCAACACTAGCCCTCGTGTAAGCTAGCCTCAAAGCAACGCAGCCCCAAACCGTATAGGGTTTAGGGAACCCTAAACCCTAAACGACTAGGGAATTTGGATCTCCTATCGCCAGGCCCAAACACAACACGCTGAAGCTCAAGCTCTGAAATTATGAAGCCACCAAGGAGGTTACACTAAACTCTGAGCCATCCTGTACCCCAAAAACCCTAGGCTTAGAGCGCTAAATTCTGAATTCGAACCCTAAACCCTGAACCTGAACCGTAAAGCCTGAACCCAAACCATTGACCCTAAACCCCCAAATCAGAAGCCTCTATTTTTCCGGGGAGTGCCTGTACCAAGCGAGAAAATCGGCTCCGGCGGCCGACGGTCCGACTTATCTGCCGGTTCACGGGCTCCTCCTGATTCAAGGCTTCAGGTTTAGGGGTTTGGGACTTAGGGTTTAGGGTTTGAGGGCCTTAGTTTGGGAATATACCTTAAATCATAATAGGGATTCAGGGCTTCGTTTAGGGTTTGAGGGCTCCTCTTCCCAGAGAGCCCAATGCCACCTAATTAGGCAATGGACCGTAAATTATGAAGGGTTTCCTATTGTGATTTAAGCTATCTTCCTTGATTAAGGGGTATTGGGCTCTCTGGGCTGATTCAGGGCTTCAGGTTTAGGGGTCTAGGGCTCAGGGACGTAAAGCTTCGAAATGATAAAGGGGGACGGCTTTCTTCCGTTTCTCACCCAGGGACCCCCCAAAAGGGTACCCTGAATTTTGGGAAACCCACCACCTAGCAACTCCAAAGTTTCGTTGCATTGGAGAAAGCTGCGAGCCGAATTGATCTAAGCCGAAGGCCGGAAGCTCAGAACCCCGAAGCCCCAAAAGGGTTTAGGGCTTATAGACCAAATACACCCTAATTAATTGAAGACTCTAGCTTGCATGATAGTATGAATCCCCCTGATAATTCAACGGTGCATTCTCAACTTCAGGGGGTATCGGGCTCTTTGGGAAGTTCTTTTGAACTCAGAGGCCCGCAGTCCTCCAACTCGAATTTTTCGTCGGGCTGCAGGATGATTGCAAGGCTATCCTTGGCCACACCGCTCCGATGTGCGTGCAGGGACCTGGCCAGGTGTGATCTTTCAGATGAAGGTTTATAGGGAGTAAGAGCTTCAAGCACGGACGTATGGTTTAAGCCTTCAATCAGGGTTTGGGGGGAGGATTTAGGGTACGCAGGGCTTAAGGCATGGAACTTGGGAACATCCGGGGCTTCTTGTTTTGGTTGGAAGTGTTAAGAACTTGAGGTTGTGGCACTTTACAGCTTAACCAGCTGAAGGCGACGCCAGCAACGACAGCTGGTTGTCTAATGCCGGCTTACTGTCATGCATATGAGGGTTTGAACCTTCTAGAGAAAGTAACCTTGCTCCCTTCAGATCAGATCCCTAGCATCTCTTTTCACAACGAACATGCGTTTACCACAGGTTTTTCAATCCCATCCCCCTCACAAATACTTGCATTCCCTCTGCTTGGCCTTAGCCGTCTCAACGCTTTACCTGGGAAGATCTATTTTTGCAGCTTCGGTCTTGCCGTCCCAAATCTCACCGTAATCTCGGAAGCTGCAATTGTATTTCCACACCCCAGCTTCATGCAAGCCTTGTGTGCCCTCTGCCAGGACGCCTCTGTGTCATGACCTGCCCCCTTGGCCGTGAACCGTACATTCTGGACCCCAAGCCGAAATACTAAATTTTAAGCCTTCACCCCCCCCGCCCCCCCCGCCTGATACACCTGTTCACGCTAGCCTCTGGGGCCTTGCACTCCAAGATCAACGAGGCGATATCTTGGACACCGAAGCAAATGCCTGTCCGAGACATTTACCCGTCATTGTTGCTGTTACTCTTACCACGATTATTGCTGCTAGCACTGGCTCTCCCTTAAACTGCCAGTACAACTGGTACTAGTATACTTTATTGCCATTTTCAATATTACTCCTATTGTTGCTCGTGATGGGAGAAAGTAAAGTAAGCGAGTGTCGTGCCATAAAACCAGCGTCGGTTGATAGGAGAAAAGACTATCGCAAGTTTTGCCTTCCTTGATCATCGCTCCCATGTTCTCATTCCATCTATCGAGACATCTTCCAAAACCCCAAATCTCAAGAACCCAAACAGTTTGCCGCTTCAGGGCCTGAGCCAAGGTGTGTTGAGTTGCTGTTCCTTCCTTCTTCGGGTTACTCGGTTTCATATGAGCTTTATCCTAAACCCCTTTACGTGGGTTATATATGCTATGGCGGGTTATGAAAGGGTTATGAAGGGGGATACTACTACTGGGAGTTTTAGACCCCAGTTGGGTCGATGCTTTGAAGCACCCGGTGAGCCGGGAGGTCGGGGCGATCCAAGACTATCAAAAACCTATAGACCCAAGAAGAAACCCCAAATCTCTCAAGCCTCCGAGGCTGAGTAGGATTTCGGGTTTAGGGTTGAGGGTTCATAAACACAAATCCACCAAAAATCGCGAAGCTGGACCCCGAAATATTGAGAACCAGTGGACTTGTTCCCACGCCTGCGCACCACAAGGTCCAATCCTTGGCCTCTGCCACCCGCTGCATGCACCAACCCTTGGGGACCTCCACTTTCCCAGATTTTATTTAAGGTTTGGGCTTAGGCTTTAGGGTTTGAGGTTTAGGCTTTAGGGTTTGAGGTGTTAGGGTTTAAAGCTTTGGGGTCTGTTTTTGCAGTTTTGCTTAGGGTTTATGATTTAGGGGTTTAGGGCGTAGATGCTGTGGATTCAGCAGGGAGTGAATTTTGAAGTTTGCTTTATCCTTTTCCATTGCAAGTCGTCGCAGGGTTCCGTTGAGCGCTCAAGCAGTTATCAAACTTCGACCGGGGCGGGAAGGGTTTTGGATTGATGTTTATTTCGCGGGTTCCGTCGAATTGCAACTTTTGGGCATGCTGTTAGTATTATTTTGGGGGGTGAATTTTTGGGGAGCATCTCCCAGGCATTTCCCGGGGGCATCATCTCTACAGTTGCGTACCGAACGGCTTACACCTAGTAAGATTATGTTCTGTCTTTACTATGGACCACTCTACCCCCAAAAGGAGGATATAGTCGTACTCTACGTTGAGTACCATCGTGTCTCCCAAGAAACCTTAGATCTCCTGTCAGGGCCCTATTCCAGCATCTGGAAGGTTCCTAAGATCAGCAGTACTTTATTGGGTTGTCCAAATGATCATAGTAGACAGGTGTCTGTATTGGGGCGCCCCTGCTTTGGGAAACCATAATCTACCGCTATGACAATGCAACCGGCTCAACTGCAAGAAAGCCAAGAACCCCTAAGATCTTGGTGAGGTGAATGCAGGGGCCTTAATATTAGAATCGGGGTTTAAGGTATAGTATACTATAAGAGCCCCCAAGACAGTATTAGTAACTTAGGCCCATATACCTTTGGTTAGTAGGGAACGGAGGAATGGGATATAATCATAACTACTATTACTACCATTCTTCCATTCCCTACTAACCAAAGGTAGGTAATGGGACCTTCTCCTCCTCCTCCTTGGAGGCCGGAGCCTGCCTGAAGAGTGCAGGCTCAATCTCCTGCAAAAAAAGGCGCTGCAGAACATCGCAGGAGCAGCCCTCAAAGCTGAATGGAAGTTTCCCAAAATTAGGGGACCCTAACATAGCACTCTAAATAGTAGGATCCTTATTATAAGGACCCCCAAAATAAGATACAAGGGGCAGCCCTCAAACCTGAATATTCCAGCGTACCCAGAGACTCCAATATCCCATAATTAGGGAATATACCTTAAATTATAGTAGGGTCCCTAATATGATTTCAGGAATACTCCTCAATGAAGGGATATTGGAGTCTCTGGGAAGGAAAACGAGCAGGGCGCGCTGAACATGGGGCTTCTCGGGCCTCAAAACGTCTCATCACCAAGAATTGCCTTGAGGCATCGGCCTTTTGTGATTGATGAAGCATTCAACGTCGAAAGAATGCGGTTCGGTGTTGCCTAGACCAGCATGCTCCACATCTAAATCAGGCATGCCAGCAACACTACAGCAACATCTTTCAGTAAGCAAATCCTTCATCAGAACCGCATAGTTATGGTCGTCAGAATGTCAGCAGGATCATCATGATTTTCCTCCTTATCCAGCTTCAGTTCCTATCGCTTCATGTGCTGCTGCCATCGCTATCGCCCCTACTACTGTTGATACAAGATCCTTGCAAAACCTCAACAACAAATGTCTGCAACTCCCAAGGTATAAGGTACTTATGCTTAATATAGAAGCCTTAAGTATAAGAAGGACCCCCCCAAAATAGTATACATAACTACTAAGGCCCTTACAGTAGGCAGGATTTTTGGAATCAACCGCACCACTAGCTCGGACCCTTCTCCTCCCAGGGGACCATGTCTCGGTTCCGTCGGTCCACCAAGGCAGCGCGGGCGAAGACCAGCGCAAAGAGTGCCTCTGGCATATGGATGGACCCTGATTCAGTACCCTAAAAAGTAGGATCCTTATCATAAGGAAACCAAAACACGGCACCCCTAATTTTCGGAAACTCCCAGTGTATACACATGGGTTTCGGGTTTTGGGTATACGTGCACATGTGTGTGTGTGTTTGTGTATGTGCGATCTAAGGTTGCCAGGTCCCCCTCTTGCATGGTATGCTGTGTTGCTGTTGATTCTCCACCCACGCCTCCCCTTTGGTTCCCGTAGTGGTGGTGGTGGTTCTCCCCCCCAGCCTTCCTGTGGTCCATGTGGTTCTGGTGGTGTTTTAAAGGGGGTAGGGTAGGAGTTTGGTAGATGATCCTGCATCATATCCGATACTTCTTCTCATGGTGTCACCCTAACTCTTCTGGTGCTGTTGGCCACAACAGATCGTCACTCTGCCCACATGTGAGCACTTGCTGCTTTTCACCAAGACCTACCTCTTATAAGGCTTCAGCAAACCTCCACTTGGATGCACATGGGATTTTGTCCAGTTTATACTCGGTAACATTAAATACTCCCAACATATCTTGACATACCGCGCGGGGGTTTTGAAGGTTTAATCATATCGGGGGAGGGGATGAGTCCCCCAGTGTTGGCACTTTTACAGACGCGACGAAAGCATACTTGTGGGTGTTGGCACTTTTTGAAGCGCGAGAACGGCACAAGGGTCGAAGAGTGACGACAGGTAGTAATACTAGTAATAACGGCAACAATAGCAATACTAGTGATAATAGTCGCAATGACCAGAATAGTAATTATACAAGTCACTTGATTAATTGCAACAATCATGAGATGAAGAATCGTAATACCAAAACAGACGTAATAACAGGATCGCGACTCTTGGCCCCATCCCTGTGACCGGTGGCACTTTTGAGACGTAACGAAAGCACGAGGGGCTGACAGTGACGACAGTGCTTCAACCCTAAGCCCTAATAACCCTGAACCACGTTACAGGGATGGCAGCTTTTGTGAGTTCCAAAAGGACGGCAGTTATTAGGATCGGGGCGCCATCCATGTTAATGTTGGCACTTTTGAGAGGTTTGGGGGGCGGGGGACCATGCCGTGGCGCGGGAGGGATAGGAACCCCAGGACCGGGATCATTTCTACCTACATTCGGGAGGGTGTGCTTGTGTGCACAATCGGGGAATATGTGCTCAGATGTCTTTCTGTGCGAAGTATGCGTTATCTATGTGGAGAAACCCCTCCCCTTGCCCCATCCACACCAACCCTAAACCCTAAACCCTGAGTGCCATGCTAGCAACTCCAAGGAAAACCTTCTTAAGCCCAATGCCACAACCGCCACAACCTTTGTCCGAAAGGGGCACGGGACCTTACTCTGTCTAAACTATAGACTAAACTCCTAGTACACCCTTTCATTATCACTATAATGCTGCTTTATATAACCCCCTTCAAGGAGTTTAGACAATACCTGATATGGGGGACCACATGAAGCTAATTAGGGTTTAAGCTTTCAAGTTTGGGGTGTATAGGCAACTAAAGCTAGTTAGAAGGTAACACCCTCGAACAAACACACACAGACACACACACACACACACATACACACCATCCCCGATATGCTCCGGAATCACCCTGAAGGGCTCCCGAGCTTGTTTCCAAGAAATGCAGCATGGCCGGACGTTACACCCTGGTTTCGTCGGGGTTATGCTGATATTTCGTGCAGCTCGCATGAGTTTGTCAACTGATGTCTTGCTTGAAGCTCCATCTGTTCGTGGTATATCGAATAACGCTCTCATCCACATGCATTTGTTCTTGAGTGCTGTGCTAGCCCAAAAAGGCTAACCGTTCAATTGTGCTAGGATTATATCAACCCCAAAAGGTTAAAGGCTACCTACTCAGCTACTGAGTGTTAATTTAGTTAAGACCGAGGCCATGTTTAGTTCAATTATCGTTGCACCTCCTTGGCGTTTTTCAGAATCTTAACCGTTCAGGAATTCCAGCATCCAGCAATGCTTTTAAACTCTTTGGGTAGAAAGTTCATAAGCGGAACCAAAAAAATACGCCACTTTTCGGAGCACCGCCTTCCAAGGCAGCTCCCCGTGGCGACCCTCTGAGAGCAAAGTAGAAAGCTACTCGTAGGATTCTAATTCTGGTTCCCCGGTTTACGCTCTCGCAAGGGTTTAGTGTTATTGAAAGAGGGGACACCAAATATCTACACTCCCCAACTCTTAAAGAACCAGATGCACCCTCAACACATATGGGAGTTTCTGAAAATTGGGGGTACCTTATTTTGGGGTCCTCATAAGAAGGATCCTACTACTTAGGGTACTATATTAGGGTCCCGCATTTTTGGAAACTCCCATACCGAAAAAGAAGCTCAACTTCAGCCAAGGGCACCAGGAAGACGAAGACCGAGACTGCTGGGAGGGTCGACTGCCACTTTGTCTCCTTGAATACAACCCCCCCCCCCCCCCCCCAAATCTGGGCCCCCAGTAGCTTCACTAGCTAGACATAGGACTTCGGATTTGGGGGGCTAGCTTTGCCAAACTCCTCTCTTCAGACGGTTACGTGGACTTTGAGACTTTGAGTGTCACAGGGTTCAGGCTTGTACTGTTTAGGAACTCCATTGGCTCATACAAGGGCTCTATTATGGCCACAACTTTGCAACGGGGACTGTCTCAAAATGATTGTTTCGGGATCCCTCTTTTGGAGTCCCTCCAATTCCTACATGAGCGATAGTCTAAACTCCAAGTATCCAAAGAAAACCAAAAAGTTTAAATTAAATCCCTGCGCAAATTTGCCCCCTGGCAGGTTCTCAGATGGGTGCGATTCCTTCGCTTTTGCACAACATTGATGAGGAGCCTTTTAAGGGGGTCTTCATTCTTGAAGCTTCTTGCAGTAGAAAGCATCACCTGCATCTTTGGAAACAGCCCTAAGCCCGAAGTCCCAAACCCCAAATAATGGCGGATGTACCTTTTAGCAACCACTGCAACGGAATCAAGACTTAGTGGTCCTTACCAGGTAAGAATTATATAAAATACACAGAGGTTAGACAGAAGGCCCTGTTAAGAACCTTTGAGATGACGGAGCATGATCTGAAGATGGTAAGGCAAAGAAGTACTCTCTGATTTTGAACAACACCCGGAACACTAAACCCTAAACGTCTACAGAGGGCAAACTCTTGCTCCATATCGGACCGGGCTTCGTGCAGAATTTTGCTGCTAAGGTTATACAGGGTATATGGGCCCCGAATATGGGCCCTCAGGTCCATATGAGGTATCTGGGCTCCTAACATGAGCCCTTGGGTCCATCCAGGGTATATGTGCCCCCAATATGAGGGAAACTAAGCGCCCATGCTGGGGGCCCATGGTTTCAAGCTTAGGCTACTCATGAACAAACACCGAAGGCAAATTTCTATTCTTCAATATCTGCATCCTCTACGTTGTGCTGCTAGGTTTAAGAAAGCCTCGCAAGTAAATCATGAACCAAAACTGCTGTGGGCAGAAGAAGTCTCCGATAAGCGCTGAAATCCTGCGGGGGTTAGCAGATCCCAAGCGCTGCTGCCTCAGCTGATCGGGTTCAGGGCTGCAGTTTAAGGCTTCGGCTTAAATTTCAGGGTTAGGGCTTGTCGGGGTTAGGGCTAAGGGTGTAGACTTCAGGATTAGGATCGTTTTGGGACTCTTGAAAACAAAGTCTTGCAAATCCGATACGGAACATGAACTGTTATCGAAGACAAGAAAGAGGTCCCGCATGAGCGCGCTTAGTTAATGGTTTGTAGTCGGGCGTGAAGGATTATAACCCCTTGTGTTTCCTAATAGAATATAATGTATCTCAAAATTCCTGCTTACTAAGAACCAGCAAGCTGAATGGGACTGCATTGCAGGCTAACCCGCAAGGAATCCAACAGACGTCAGGTCCCTAGACCCCCTATTGTAATGAATCCCAATAGTGGAACTTCTGAATAGTCCCCTCATTTTCCCAATGTAGTAATTAATGAAGGGCATTTTGGGTGGTTCATTTTTCCTTATCCTTTCGGTGGCTGCGGCAACAGCCTGGAGAATCCTCACAGCCACGTAAATAAATCAAGAAAAATACATATATATATATATATATATATATATATATATATGAGCTTGAATCTAAACTCCTTCCAGGGGGTTATTAACGGGATTCTACATGTGAATATTCCAAAGGCTATCTGGCGGATAATAGACATTCATATAGACTATAGTTGGATAGCTCAAATATACAAACACATACACTTGTCTACTCTTGACATGGAAAGCTGACCCAATGTTGTTCTAGCCGCAAACGAGGGCCAGGAGAGCGTTGTCCCAAATGACCTGCGCTTCAGGATTCAAGTCTTTTTAGGGAAAACTTTCCGTTTTGAGAACAGACTTCGGGGTCATACACCCGCATTCTTGGACTTACACTGGCACCGGACATGTCCCGTGGAGTCTGCTCCGCGAGGTTGCTTGGGCTCACGAATATGGGAGTTTCCGAAAATTGGGGGTACCTTATTTTGGGGTCCTTATAGCAAGGATCCTACCATTTAGGGTACTATATTTGGGACCCCTATTTTCGGAAACTCCCATATCAGATTTGAGGTCATTTGTGAGAGACCTGATGCTAGAACTAGCCGAGAAATGATTTCTCAAGAGTCTACGAGATTCCACCCAGATTGTTGGCCAATAAACTGTTTACCCTATCATGAATCTTCCTCTAGATCCATCTTCCTAACAAGCCACATTGTATACGGAATTTCTAGTTAAACAGGAATCCCACGGAGGGCACGCGCACTGCCAGCGCACCTGTAGTACCACTTCTTGTGAATAGTCTCGTGTCAGCTTTAGGTTTAGACGCACAGACTTTGCCAATGCCGCTGCGTTCAGTGGTGTGGTGGCTTCGGTGGCTTCGCGGCCTGTGGGCCATAGTCTAAACTTCTAGTTTCCCCCGTAATCACCCCTAGTGTAGTCCCCTGTATCCTCCCTTGCTTAACCCCTTTGAAGGAGCTTTTAGACTCTGGCTCGTATGGACTAGGGGGCTGAAGATTGTTGGCCTGGGGTCGAGGGACGGCATAATCCTGACATGTAGGACAGTTAGTTTCCCTGGCCCAAGGATGGGCATGGTAGCATCCGTTCAACACATACAGCTCCACTAACTAGGGTGATTTAAGGATTCTCAGGGCTAGTTAAGGGGGAGCATAGATACACAGATCAGCCTGTCACTGAGGAGAGGCTTGGGCTGTTTCGCTGTTGCGCTACATTGTGCGGAATTTGGGAATCATGAGAGATGGCCTCCCAGCACGAAGCCCACAACATCCTTCATTGAGCATGATGCACTCCGCAACTTCTGCTTCTGCGCCAGAAAACAGCAAACCCTGAATCCCGAACCTTACTTCAAAGCCTAAACCCTGCACCCCAAACGCCACCTCGGCTACAGCGCTGAAGATAGAGAGATGGACAGTCAAGCACGTAATCTGTCCCGGGACAGGGTCCTTCATGCAGGGGATGTAGTGTTTAGACTGCGCGGGGTCTTCATGAGACTTGTAGGTTTTGTTAGGACCCCGAAAAAGCACATAAGCAAAAATTAGGATAGGGATATCCCATATAATTCCCCTATAAGGAAGCCCAATAAGGTAGGGATATCATTATAGAATGCTTATGCTTATGTCCTTTTTGGGTCCCTAAATTGTAGGGCTGCCTCTTCACAGGGCTGAGGCTTCGGCGAACTGGTGTGGAATCGCTTGGGGTGGGGCCTGTAGGGGCTTTGTAGAAACTCCCAGAGAGGCCAATACCCCTTAATTAAAAAACAAAAAAAATATATATATATATATATATATATATTATGACTGAAGCTATACTCCGTAATTAAGGGGTATTGGACTCTCTGAACTCAGCCCGATCACCGACGCCGAAATCGAAAGCCTCCCTCGAAACGCAGTGAAAAAGCGATTGGATGGCTTCTCACGTATGGGCCGCGCCAGGGTCTCTGTAAGGATGCAAGGATGTCCGACGTCCAAGAAGCTAAGTGGGTCACATATGAGCTCAAGTCCACTAACCCTATGCCTTTGATACTCACCTAGCCCGTATATAAGCCCATTTTACGGAGCTTAGACTACGGCTCACACGATACGTTCCCTTACGAGACGAACCCTAAACCATAAACCGCTGCGAGACGACAACTCATACTCAGAGAGCCCAATACCCCATAATTAAGGAATCTACCTTGAATTTTGGGGGATGCCTATTATGATTTAAGTGATGTCATTTTTCCTTCAGTGCGGGGTATTGGGCTCTCTGGGCCCTGAGAAGCCTCGAAAACAACAACATGGCACAATATGAGGAAATATTCTGTACACTGGTTCCATAAGATACTATATGGGAGTTTCCGAAAATAGGGGACCTAATATAATACCCTACATAGTAGGATCCTTATTACAAGCACCCCCAAGGTAAGGTACCCCTCATGTTCGGAAACTCCCATATAACGTATCTTGGCCTGAAAGCCCACTCCTCCCAGGCCCCTGATGCCTGAGGTCCCAGACTGTATGCCACCCTGAAACACCTAAACCCCAAACCCTATATAACCCCCATTATAGTAGAGTAACTACAGCATGATCTAGTATAGTTTCCATTTTTTCTCCACTATCCTAATGTTACCATAAACCTAACGCAGCTGCCAGATCAGGAGGAGCGGCGGGCACCGTTGTGACTCCACGCGGGGACCAGCGCTTTTCCTTGCAAAGAGTTTCTCCCCGGGGGTCATCAAAGAAGGCAGAACCACGTCGTGAAAGCAGGGTCTACGGTCTATTTCCTTGGAATTTTGGATTTGCTGATTGATTTTCTATGCGCGTTGAGGGTTGGCGCCAGGGGGCCTGTAGCAAATCTGGAATCCCGCTCACGACTTGTGCCCTTCAGCGGGCATTAGAGAATGCCGAACGCTGAAGATCTGATTCAACCCTCAACCCTAAACCCCTCCCTAAACCCTAAACCCTAAGCCCAGGATCTCGTTCGTCCCAGAAGGCGCATGTGGCGTTCTCCAAGTCCGTCTTGATCCTCATCTCTCAGGGTTTTCTTTCCCACCCGCCCAGCTGACAGAATAGGGCCCAGGGTTTACAGCCAAATAGCTCGGGGGCCCTGGCTTCCATGGGTCTGGTCCGAGCTTTGCAAAATTCAAGCGGCGGGCCTTGAATTGAGGTTGAATTATGAATTTACGATGCGAAGGTTGAAACAAACCTCTACAACCCATAAAGTCATGAAGTTGCATACAATCGCTGCGTGGCCCTTGGTACAACAAGAACGGAGCCAATGGCTCACCTGAGTTTTACACACTACACCAATGGAACCCTTTCCTAAGGGCTTGGGTTAGGGCTTAATGTTACTGGGCTTCTCTAAGTCCTTTCCTACAACATCTCCGTATGGCCAAGACGGCCCTAAAGGCACCCTATTTTCACAAAATCCCGTCCAAAACCATAAATGCTAAACCCTAAGCCGAGGATCACAATCCGAAGGGGAACGTCCAGGTCTCGTACCCTGAGTTCCGATCCGTCGGGCGCTCGCATGTTGATACTGACCTTACTGAGTAGCGTGTTCGGAACAACAAACGCAAAGAGCCCAGTACCCCTTAATTAAGGAATAAGCCTGAAATTGTATACAAGTGGTTTCATCTTCTGATTTGAGCCATATTCCCTAATTGAGGTGTCTGACATTATAGACAAGGGGTTTATCTTATGATTCAAGCCATATTCCTTAATTTAAGGGGTATCGGGCTCTCCGGCAAACTACTGATGGGTTCTCAGGGATGGAGGTCCATGAACAGTGGAGTGGAACCTTTTACATGTCCTTGTCAACGCAATGTAGGGGCCTTAAGAATTAGAATAGGGCTGTGGGGGATCTTATACTAAAAGCATAACAAGGAACCCCCAAACTAGTATAGGCAAGCATTCAGGTCACCTATAAAAAGCTTTCAGTACCTCGGACATCGGCGGCCGGAAGGTCGAGGAAAAGCAGACAGGTGAGCACTCCAGCCGGGGTTGGGGTTCAGGGTTTAGGGGTTTAGGGTTTGCGAACACATGCAGATTCTCAATAGAACAAGTTTAGGTACTGCATGCTAGTGTGTGGGAGTGTATGGCTACAGAGATCGACTTCCCCAGTCGGTTTCCACCCGGCACCCCCAAAACCTCAAAATTAAGGGCCACACCAGAATCACCCCCAAGAGCCCCCCTTCCCCCCCAGATTTCTCAGTCAGCCTTATAAAACGTGTATATATATATATATATAAATATACATATTCCCTCCTCAAGCCAAGGTCTAGGGTGCCTCTTTGGGGGGGAGATGGGGCCTTTTGAAAACCCTGTTAAAAGACCAGCACACACCCATGCGCCCAGTCGCAGCATGGGATCCGACCACGGACGTGGCTTCGCCTTCGACCCGTCGATCTTGGAACTTACCTGGCTTTAGGGGTTTAGGGTTTAGGGGTTAGGGCTGAAAGAGGACCCAAACCAAGGTGCCCATCAGTTTGGGATAGTACCGGCGGCTTTAGGGTTTAGGATTTGCAGGCCCCATCAGTTTAGGAGCTTTACCCCCAGCGTCGAACAGACGAGAGATTTCACTGATATCCTTTGCTTCGACACCCCCATTCTGAGAAGCAGCGCCGTGCCTGAAATCACAACTTGCGGACAGGGGTTGGCTTTGGGATTCTAGAACCCTAAACCCTGATAGCGTGTTTGGAGCTAATCTTGCAACCAGCCTTGACCCTTACAGTGATACCAGGACGGTGAATGCAGAGCCAACAAAACCAGCGGTTCCGCTTTTCGCTTTTGCAGAGGCTTAGAGAGCAATCTGGGTCATAGCCCGCACAACTTCAGAACGTTTCACACAATCTGGCCCGTTCTACCGAAACCTCGCCCACGAATTGGAGCCCCTGCTGCTTATTGGCCACCAAAAAGGAGTGGCGGGTTTGCGGTTGACGCCTCAGGTCTCAATGTTCAGGATGAGACCCCTAAACCCGAAACCCTTCAACCCAAAGCCTTCAACTCCACTTCACGCCCTGCCAAAAGTGGTTTAGCCAAAAGGCCTGCAACCTGCGACTTGATGGTGGTGATGCTCAGCAGGACTGCTCCCGTTTCTCCGGCTGCTGTCGCGGCTTGGGCCAAGACCTGAAAGGAAGCGTCTTTGAGAAAACTGATGGTAACTCATGCCGCTAACCCCGTCCCTACGCCCTAAACCCTCGACCCTGAACCCTAAAAAATGCAACCCTGCCCTGCCCTGAGGACTCTGTATGCTAAGCGTAGTGCTTGGGTTCCTCAAAGGCCCTCTTGAGCTGAAGGCAGGCTGAAAGCTTCTATCGGTTGCTCGACTTCTGCAAACATCTAAATTTTTGTTGCGGGGAAACTGCCTGGAGCGGTAGGATTTAATCGTGTTTCACTTTTTATCCCGGGAACTCCAAAGAAGGGTAGGATTGAGGGTGTCTGAGTTGTTCAGTCGAACGCAAATGGAATAATTTTCCAAACATGCCCAGATCATACCAGAAAAGGCTGTCAGCTAGACTTTCACATGACGTCCACGAGGTCTCACTGATTCCCGTTTAGACGCGGGAGGGTGCCTTTTCGGGACTTCCCCTTGCGACTCAAGGGGAAGTGCGGCAGTGATCCTGCCTAACGGCGCGATGAACATTGTGGCGAAAACCAACAGCGCATCAATCCCAAGCCAAGGGTGTAGGCATTCTATAGGGTTGAGGAGATTGGGCTTGTTGCACCAATTTTGGGACACCCCAAGATGGCCTTTACCGGGGCGCGCTCCTCTCACAAGGGATCCAGGATATCCAAGCCTACGCAAAGATGCACCTGCCCAAAAAATTGTTGCCGGCATTTGCGGAATTTCCATCCGATTGAAATTTCCCCTGTATGGATCACCGCGAAATCAGCGCTTCTGAAACCTCGAGCCCAGGAGATAGATGCTCAGAATGGAATACCCTTTGAGCCCTGAGCCATGCCGCTTAAATCCTATAGAGCCCAAACCTGCCAGCTCTGTCCTAAGGATAAAGGCTAAGCTGCCCAGCCTAAACCCCCCCAAAAAGCCCTGAGTCTTAGCCTTGAGCGTAGGTCGCTCCCCAGAATTCAGCCGGCAGACTAGGTGATAGGAGACAAAAACCGTATCCTCGGAACAGAGACCCGTAAGGGGGAACCTTGAGCCCTAAACCGCCCCAACTCCATCGTGTACGCAACGGCCTCTCGAGGGACTTCAACCCGGGAGACTTCTTCCTGGGACGTTGTAAAGGCGGTGACGGTGGTCACATTGCTGTCCAATGCCTGCGACTCGCTGGGCTTGGGGGTTGAAGGAATTAGGGGTGAGGATTTTTAGGGTTGAAGGATTCAGGGATCAGGGCTGAGGGTTGAAGGATCTAGGGTTTAGGGGATTGCAACTCTTGCAGGGTTGTGATATCACTCTGTCATCAGATATGCTTGTGGTGGCGTTCGAGCTTGGCATTAAAGCTTCCGGGTTTGAGGTCCTGAGTCCTCAGTTGAGGCTTGAGGGTAGCGCGTTGAGGGTGCACGGGTTTTAGGGTTTCATTTCGGCTGCTGATTTGGCTTCCTTTCACCCCCTGCCCGCAGCCTGACGCCTTCAGTTCACGTCGTAGCAAAGCTTAGAACGTCCTTGCAAGCGGGAAATTTGAACTATAATCGAACAGAATAGAATGGAACAGAATAGAATGTAACGTGCCGCAAAAAGGCAACCTTTCTTCGAAGAGCGTGAAACATGGCAGTAAATCGGAAACTACTGGGAGGTTCATGGTTAGTTATAAGTAGGGTTGGGGTTTAAGGTTTAGGCGTAGGATATAACCAATATTAGGGGACAAACGGGGCTCTTGTGCCCCATCTAGTAGGTACCTGGGGGTTAGGGTGCCCACTGCTTAGATGGCTTCTGCTGAAAGCCTGAGGTTATTCGGCTTTCCGCACCCTAAAACCTAAAGCATGGGCCTCTGGCAAGAAGGCCACAACCTTCAACTGCCCCGTGTCCACTTCTGCTGACACTTCGCCCAAGATTCCGCCTGAGAAAATGTTCAGGATTCGTTAGGGGTGGGGTGAAGGGTTCAGGCACACGGGCAGGCCGGGGTACTCACAACCCTACCCCACTAGCGAAGCATCAAGTGGAAAAAGCGAATGAACTAAACACTGCAGTTTTATATAAGGTTACATCAGAAGTTGCGGATTGAGAGTACAAAAGCTGTTTGAGGATTTCCTAGCGTTTGTTGATGTTTGGGTAGCCCCAATCCCCTTGCCGGAGGACTTCACAAGGGCTGTCAAAATTGAGGCCCCCTTTTGAATCTCCAAGCATAGGGCACCCAGCATCAATGCAGCCTTCCATGCATTCTCTCCATATATAACATCCCCCGAAGAAACGACCGTCAAGTTTTGAGCCAGGAGGACTCTTGAACCAGCGAAACCTCCGTAAACCCTAAACCCCAAGCGCCAAACCGCAAACACCAACCCCCCGAGCTCTAAACCGTTAACCCCTAGGCCCAAAGCCCTGAACTTTTAAACCCTAAGCCCTGAGCCCTAAACCCCAAAACCCTAAACCAGGGCCATAGAAGCCAATAAGGAATATACCTTAAATCGAATTAAGGGCTTCATATTATTATCTAACTCTCTGGGTACCAGCCTTGTGGCTGATATTCTTGTAGTTCTTAGGTTGGAGCTGGGGTCCTCAGTTTTGGGGCCTAGGGTTGGGTCCTTACATACCACTTTCATACCCTAAAACTTGGGCACTGCCCCCATACAGTGAGAGTCTATAACAGGGCTACTATGAAGGTCCTAATATATCTATATTGAGAGTATTATGCAACTACTACTGAGTGGGGGCCGTACCCAACCTATCACCCCTAGAATTCCAATTCAGGGCCCGAGAAACAGGTACCCGGGCCCACAACAAGGGCCCATGGGTCAGGAGTTTAGACGACTTCTTCAAAGACTTGAAGAACTGAACCCTTTATTAGTTGCACCCTGCACGAATATCTCAGGCTTTAGACAGGGTCGTTGTCTATGAATTCATGAATACACTTTCGCGAGCATCACCGAGAGCAAAAACACTATTGAGCAGTGCGCATCACCCCTAACCCTAACGCCAAACGTCTTGCATCCAAAAACCCCAAGTAATAAACTTAAGAATAACACTAGTAACAAGAATCGTGATAATCATAATAGTCATAGCAATCATAATAGTCATAATGATCAAGATCAAAACGCCAAACCCTACCGGCCTAGACCCCTGTTTTTGCTAGTCCGGAGGCCCCTGGAGCCCGTAATGTAAACCCAAAACACCCCAAACTCCGTCCTAGTGCTTAGGCGAGAGTGGGGGAGTGGACCTCAACAGTACTCGCTACAAAATCCCGACATATACCCTGTTAAGGTAGCTATAGTGACAAATCCTACGCCCGAACTCGTATATTCACTTCCCCACTCCCTCATCAGCACCAGTAGGTCTCATAGATTCACCCACAGCAAGCCTGTCGCGTTACCTTGACTGGTGTTGAAATTCAAGGACTCCGCCAGTTCGGCCGCCACTGCCTGGATTTCCCACAGGGCGTTAGAGTTCAGGGGGTATTCAGAACTTGGAGCAATCTTTCTTCCCTAAGCTCCCAAAAGCTGAACCTATTCTTCCCTACACCCTACTGTAACGCTGTAAGTGCGATAGGTTCCTCTGTGCAGCCATTGCAGACTTTGCAGAAGCGAACCGCCGTTGACCCGCAGGCAGAAGTGCTTTCTTCGGTTGCAGTAAAGGCCGATGCACCCACAAATCGGTGGCAGCTGCCAGTGTTAGCTCTTTACAGCAGTTTGACACCTACGCCCTAAACCCATTCTTCGTCAAATCTTAAACCCTTAACCCTACTGGTTCGGAATTGGGCATGATCCGGCTCGACGAGAAAACGAGCAAGCGGGAGAGCGATGAAGAGGGCAGGGGTGACGGTTATGCTTACATGAGTGTATCCTTGGAGCTCGGTACCAACCTAGACCCTCCTTCTGCCCTCTTTTACACCCTAAACGGCCCTAAAACCTCCATTAGACCCTAAATACCCGTATACCCTCTTCGGGGGTACAAGGAAAGCCCTGGAATCTGAATGGTTGCGTGAGAACTTGCTGGCCAACTGTTTTGTCCTGAAGGGTCCGGAAGTCAGAAGATGGTCCATCTCAGGGGAGTAGTTGCTGGTAGAACAATTATGCTACATTGTGCTCCATGTCGTGTTTCTTGTGCCGTTATCCATTTGTTGTCCGCTTGATTCTACGTTGTCCGTACATACCACTAATCTAGGGGCCTCAACTAATTAGAATAGGGCTTTGGGGCTCATTGTACTATGATTTTAATCGGGAACTCCCAAAATAGTATTGGTAGTTATTTCGGCTCCCCTACTCCCCACCTCCTCTTCAGCGTCCACTTGGAGCGCAGCTTTGGAAGCCTGTTTCCCGAAAGAAGTGCTTGGGGCTTTACGCTTCAGCTTCCGGGGTTGAGAAGTTGCTGCCTGAGCGAGCAATAAGTAGACCTTACTTGGAGGTTCATGGGTGCTTACAAGTGGGGTTATAAGTCCCTGAATATGGGTGATAACTATAGAGATCCTTCTTATAGCCCTACTTAAAACTACCCATGAACCTCCAAATAGTCTCTATCTATCCCCGGTCCCCAGCACCCAGATCCCGACGAAGTACCAAGAATTCACAAAAAGAGCCACTGAGTATACCATTGCAGGTCTGTGCTCTGGGAGCTTCTAAAGCTCATGGAGTTATGGGGGTTTCCGAAAATTAGAGAGATACTTTTCTTCGGTACATGCTTTAAAGTCGTGGTAATCGGGATTCTGGGATAGAAAGGGGACCTAGTCTGCGGAAACTCCCATCTGCTCTCAGGCCATCTACACAAGCCAGCTGCTACCTCCGTCTTGTTCCATTTCTACAAAGTACCGGATTACACGGAGAACGTCCTGCATGCACTGGTCAACAAACAGCAAGCAGCCTACATAACCACGCGCTGAAGAAAAATAACGTGAAGCAACTCAGCAAGTGCTCCGTCTTCGCAATGGGGCTAAGTACAAACCAGTATCACTACAAAGGATCTGAAGCCCTAAACTCCAAACCGCTACTGGTACGGTCTAGGGTTTGGGATAGCGCTGGTGAAGCGCGGTTCCAGAAGAAACTTTTCATCTGCGGATTTCCAGAAGTTGGGAGCATCCTCGTGGGGGTCGTTCTCATTAGGAACCAGGGCATTTGGTAAGCCCAACCCCCAAAATGAGGACCCCATAGCCATCGCATGATTGTCATGGGGTCTTCATTTTGGGGGTGGGGTTACAAAAACCTTTTATTACTGAGTGAGCATTGTGATACATTCAGGTCTTATTTGGAGCTCCCTGTTCTTGGCCACTCATATGTGGGGCCCGGGTTGAAAACCAATGCAATGCCCCTGGGTGTCGGGTTCAGGAGTTTAATGTAGGGGCCTGAATAATTAGAATAGGGTAATGGGTTGCCTTATGCTATAGTCATAACAAGGATCCCCCAGGGGCTACCAGGGTATTAAAGGTTGTAAACCCCCAAGTCAGACTCAAAAGCCCCATCTCAATCATGTCGGTAAAAAACCTACCAATTCATGGGATTCAGGGTTGAGGAGCTACCAAAAGCCAGTACTGTCAGAAACACAAGAACAGTTGTCCTGTATGAGCTTACCCAGAACACCAAGCCCAGAACGACAAACAACCTCACTTGGGCTATAGTCTAGGCCTTAACCCCGTGTGTTCTGTTGGATTTGTAGGGTTTAGGGCTTCGTACCCTACATTGAATCCGCAAACCCTCCACCGCTTGGATTGCCTCCTCCTGACGTTGTTGCTCTCTCTGCTGCATCGCCATCTCCTCCGGACTTCCTGGAGTCCTGTTTAGGCTTTAGGGCTTGGGGTTTAGGGTTGAGGCTTCAGGGTTTGGGGTGTCAAGGTTTAGGATCCATTACGGTTTAGTGTTGAGTGGTTTCGGGATTAGGGACTGCCGGTATATAAGATCAATGTTTCGGGTTTAGGATTGTTTCGGGTTTTGAGGTCTCCGTTGTTTTTGCGGGCGCGGCTGACACGAGCTTGCGAGGCGCTGAAAGAGAATAACATCACTTCGCCCGGCTGTGTGATTCTGTATATATCGGTTGCCTAAGCAACCCCTCTCTACTCTAAACTACACCCCCTTAAGTGAGCTTAACTCACCCTGAATGAGCCAGACGACAAGCAGGAATCTTGAGGGTGATAGCACAGAAGGGGGCGTGGCTGGGTAACACAATGTACATATGCATATATGCACATATATTTATATATACACACTATATATAGATACTCTCTCTCTATATATTCGTCCTTTAGATGATGGGGCGATCGCAGCTTGGTACATGATTCGGACTTAAATCTCTTTCGGTTCCCGCTTTTTCTATTCTGTATTGAGAGGTTGAGAGGGTATTAGTTGTCCGGGTTCGACAGTTTCGTGGGTTTTGTTATTCGTGGAGTGTCAGTCTCTTTGGTTTCTCCCGCGAGGCCCTCTCCCCAACACCTATGACCTGAGCTTTAAATACCAAGGGGTCACACATCGTCAAGAACCCCGCGCGCGCGGTCTTCGAATCATAGTGTGGATTGTCAGACCAAGCATGGGGTGCTGTTAATTAAGGAATATGGACTCAGCTTCTGCAGCAGAACAGTACATTCACCAAGATGCTTTCCTCATTATGCTAAACTAACTCGACTTCCGGTACGGCAGCCCAGATGAAGGAGAAGGGCCTACACCCCTCTCCAAACCCAATATAGGGGCCTCAATAATTACCTATATTATTGTTGGGGGTTCCGTATTATGAATATAGTATCAGTATAATCTACCACCAAGCCCTATTCTAACTACTAAGGCACCTATATTACAACCCTCACCAAGGCTGTAGCACTTTGCATGGTTGCCCCTTAGGAATAAGTCAACTCCAATAGGCCAACTGCCCCTGACGAAGATCAGAAGAGACCTCCTAATATAGGGGGCCTTAATAAGTAGAAGGGCCATGGTGCTATGATTATGATAAGGAGCCCCCCAAATAGTATTGGCAACTATTTAACTATCTAGGCCCCTATAGCAATCCAACTCAGGGTTGAGTTTGGTCTGGATGCCGCTGGGGGCACCCCGTGGAGTACATGATGCTGAAGCGTAGAAATCTCTGCCTGAAGCGGTTGGGCTCCCGACACCTTGATCGGGTATCGAGCTTGCGCCAAGAACCCTAAACCATGCCTAAGCCCACTTCAAGCCAACTTGTCCTTGTGGTGCTGCTGTGCGTCCAAGTTGTGGAGGTCGTCGCTGAAGTTGTCGAGGTTATGCTGAAAGTGAGGCTGCTGGTGGTGCTGGACAAGGTTGTGCTGGAGGTCCTGGTCCAACTGGTCCCTGTCGTGCTCGTGGTTGTGGTCTTGGAGCTGGTGCTGCTACTGCTACTACTGCTGCTCGTCGTGCTGGTGCTGCCACTGGTGCTGCTGGTGCTGCTGCTACTACTGCTGCTTGTCGACGTTGTTCTGCTAGTAGAACTGGTGCTGGTTGTCCACGTTGTCGTGCTGGTAGAGCTGCTGCTGCTTGTCGACCTTGTTGTGCTGGTAGAACTGCTGCTGGCACTGCTGCTACTGGTGCTCGTCATGGTGGTGCTGCTGGTGCTGCTACTGCTGGTGCTGCTACTGCTGGTGCTGCTACTGCTGGTGGAAGTCTCGCTGGCAGTGCTGCTACTGGTGCTGCTTCCTGTGGTTGAAGTGCTCCAAGTACTGCTGGTGCTGACAGTACTGCTCCCACTTGTGGTGCTTGAAAATGAGACCGTTGTAGATGTGCTGCTGGTTGTCTGTGTCGTTGAGGTTGTAATGCTGGCTGTGGAGCTCGTGGTGGTGGACGTCGTTAAGGTTCTTGTCTCTGTTGTGCTGGAAGATGTGCTCGCCGAAGAAGTGGTGCTTGTCGAACTCGTGATGGACTGGGTATAGGAGGTGGTTGTCCTTGAAGCACAAACTTTTGAGCTCACTTGCAAGATATCACCCCAGAGCCGCCCTGCAAATGTCATGTCTCAGAAGCTATCCATAGAGCTAAACTAAATAGTCCCTTCTATAAATCCCTGTTATCATTTTACGACTCCAGTGCATATGTGCCGAGCATCGACGTTGTCGGCAAGGTGCCGAAGTCCACTACGGGCAGGTGGTCACCCAAAAGTGCTGAATCCAGGCCACGGTCAGTTGTGTCGCCATACCCGAGCCACTCGCCATATCCCATACACTTCACTGTAGCATCGTCCAACAGGGCACACTGAAAGCCATTTCCAATGGTTATGTGCTGAGCAGTTCTGCCTGTGCCGTAATTTACAAAAGGGAGGTTATCTCCCATCTCGCCTGAGCCATCCCCGACATTCCATTCCTGAGTGCATGTTCAAACTTGAATCACACTGCTACAGCATTTGCAGGTTTCCACTCTAAAGCGGGTTTAACGATCTAGGGGTCAGGATGCCCTGGTATTTACCATAGCGCTGTTGCGTGGTAAATTGTCTTGCTTTCCTAAATAGCAACTCAGATTTTTAGGTTCTTCCTAAGGAATTTAACTTAAGTTGCCATGGAACAGAAACCCTAGTATTTACTTTGGATCCTTATTATGGTACCTTAAGTTAAATTCCTCAACAAGAACCCAGATTCATCACTCGGAATGTCGTCTCCATAGCCCAGCCTGCCGTTTCCGTTGTTTCCCCAACACCTCCAGTCGCTGCAGACCAATAATCAACAACAGACTTTTCAAGCCTCCTTAGGGTTCTAGGATCACAACAAGGAGAAATAATTCCTAAAGACAGCACAGACACTTCGTCCCGTCGTTTGAAAGAATTGCGCATGTCATGTCCCATCCTGCAAAAACCTTCTTGACAGTGAGGCCAGTGCCCAAGTCCACGGTGGGTATCGTGTTCATCTTCCGGTCGGATGTACCTCGATCATGCCGATCACCATAGCCAAGATGGCCAAAGTTAGCATAGCCCCAGCATTTGAGGTTGCCATCGTCCGAGATCGCCTCGGCAACTCATAAGTTTGACCATTTTTAGGTGCCTGCGATGTGAGGATGCACGGCTTCTGAGCATAAGTTCAAGCAAGTGCTGCCTGGAAACACATGTGTGCTTGTAGCCTGCCACGAAGTCCGTGACCGTCCTTCCAGCACCCACGTCGATCGGAGGAAGATAATCGCCCATTTGGTTTGCACTTTGTCCAATGTTACTGGAGCTGTCCTGCCTTAGACGACTGAGCACAGAGCCTCAATCCCTGAATGCCGCTATGGCCTGCGGAAGCCCTCACTCTTCTACGCCCCTACACCCTAAACCTCTTTCCCATCTGCAGGCCAGGGCGCCCAGATTGTCCGTTGTAACTGCTGCCCCAACACTTCAACGTGTTGTCATCCAGGAGGGCACATGCATGGCTGTCTCCTGGTTCCGGCCCCCCCCTCCCAAACGGTGCGCCCAGGATCCTAGAAGTAGAACAGCTCAGCGCTAGCACACATCGGGTTTAGAGTATATGGTTGTCCGCTATCCGTGTTCTTCTCTCTGAATTACGGAGCCGAGCGTCCACACCCAATCTTTTGCGCGGTTCGGCCGGTTCCCAAATCGACGAAAGGAAGCCCGTCCCCCATTTGTTCAACGGTGGTCCCACGGTCGGTTGTGTCGCCATAGCCCAACCTAGGTTCTTGGTGCCCGAAGGCGAACAGTATGTGGGGTTCATGTTCCACCAAGACAGTTTAACCAGTGATCGTCAAGTTGTCGGCAGTATCTAGGGACCACTGCCAGCCTTTACCGTCATCATTGACATGCCTATTCCTAAACTGCCGAATCCATGCATTGCCGGGCTGTGCCACTCGTTTGCTGGGATGCCTCTGAATTGGATCCCCATGAAATGCAAAGCGACAGGTAGATAAGGTAAGTCGCGTCTTTACCATTGAGCCGAAGTCTGAACCGCTGGTCCTAGTTTCCCCCTTAATCAACCTCACTATAATCCCCTAAGTAATCCACCAGTATAAGCCCAAATAAAGGAGCTTAAGCTGCAGTTCGTTGAGCCCAAAGCCATCGATTAAGTAGGCTTCATGAGCTTGGAGAAGGGCCAGGACTCCATCGCGAGCTGCGCTTCCATACAGTTTTAATACATGACATGAGAGCTCAGGGCTTAACAAACAAGCCACAAAATCCTAAATATCATGCTAAATTTGTCTTGTCCACTAGAAATTTCCCAGGACCCTGGATTGACCCTGTCAACAGGGGTATATGGTCCCTAGAGTATATGGTCCCTTCTAGGGTATATAGAGGGTGGATAAAAACCCTAAAGTCTATTCAACCCCAAACCCTATAAAGCCTACAAACCCCTACAACCTAAACCCTATGCGCCTTAAACCCTAAAGCGGTTTGAGGGTGTACCTGCACCCCTGCGGTTTTAGCAATTCATAAGGTCAGGTACACGTAGACCCTGCTCCAAGTCAAACTTGTTGGGATGCAGGTCTGCATGGACGCTGCTCCACATGGGCTTGGTTCTACCAGTGGCCAAATTAAAGAAAAGCTGGTAGTTGGGGCTCATTTCTAAAAAGGGTGCGGGGCGGTCTGAAATCCCATCACCATCCTGTTTCCCAGAGAGAACCCTCACCAAACTAGTTCCGAATTTAGCTTTCTTACCAGAATTCCTTAATGAATCTGCGTCATATTCAAAAACATTTTCAAGTTCTAATTTTCTTGTTCCTATTCACAAAGGCCCCTGATGCATGGATTTTAAACACACGCGCGGAGACTGTGCCTCAACTTTAGAAGGAATCCTCAAATGCATGGTTTTTGTGGTTCACCATATGAACCTCTTAGTACATGCGCTCCATTCTCAGCGGACATTCTGAAATCCTGGCTATTCGCCTTTCTCTATTTACAAAAACCACACCAAATTTGGTTGAATTTTTGAAAGGATTTCTCAAGTCTTGAGTTCTTTTCATCCCCTACATAACTCTTGATTAACCGTGCCTCAAAATTCAGCAGGAACTGGCATTCATTCAGAATGCGGATTAGTGCTGCCCAAGGAATCGCTATCTTCATGTTACAGAACCCAGAGAGCCCAATGTTAAGGAGTATACCTTACTTAAACCATAAGGATCTTATGATGATTTAAGCTATATTCCTTAATTAAGGAGTATTGGGCTCTCTGGGAACTTGATTCTGAAGCAGGTCTCTACTTATGCCATGAATGCCGAAGTGCAAAAACGCAGGGGCACACCCATACCCGTTAACCCTTAAACCCTAAAAGATGTAAACCCTCCACCCTACAAACCCTACAAACCCTTACAACCCTAAACACTGTAAACTCTACAACCCTTAAACCCTAGATTTCAGCTGCAACGAGGCAGCTTGCCACCATTGTTCCAGCCCCAGCACTTCCTGGGTTGCTGTAAAGGAGCTGAATTTAAGCTGCATTTTAAAGAAACCGTATGGATTACCATATATGCTCATTACGGTGACCCTTGAAGAACTTGATTTAAGTTACATTTTGAGGAAACCGTATACCTACTATATGTACAGACTATGGTAACTTATTTACTATATATACAGATTCTGGTAACTTAGAAATTACTTCGTTAACAGCTCAGCAAATACTTCCTTAACAACTTAGAACAAACTTCCTTACCAGCTTATAACAGCTTAGCAAATAATTCCCTGACACCTTAGAAAATACTTCCTTAACAGCAACCCAGCTTCACAAGTTTCGGGATATGAATCTCTTATATGATAGGCACTATAACCATGGAGAAGGCCACATGCCCTGGAGAAAAGGGCCGACTGCGGGGAAAGACCCTGGATTAACAGCAACCCAGCTTCACAAGGTTGTTGCACATAGCCATTATATACCCATCATATAGCCCATTATAAGGTAGGGGTCCCAATTAAGGGTCCCTCCTTTTCCCCTTTTAGGGTTTAGGGTTTAGGGCTTCCTTAATCGCAACCCAGCTTCACGAGGTTGTTGTCCAAGAGCGCGCATGCATATCTGTCGCCGACGGCGATCTGCCTCTGGGCATCCACCGGGGAACAGAAATATACGGGCCTTACTTGGAGGTTCATGGGTAGTTATAAGTGGGGTTATAAGTCCTCTAGTATGGGTTGTAACTATAGTTATCCTGCTTATAACCCTACTTATAACTAACCATGAACCTCCAAGGCATCATTAGACTAGGGCTTTGGGGTTCCTTTTTAGAGGGGTCTATAAGGGCTACTGTAAGGGCTACCATAAGGGCTATTTACAAGGATTTAGTATGGGGGGCTTAAAACGTGGGATAGGGGTTTTGGAGCCCATTATACGAAAGTTATGATAAGGAACCCCCCGAAATTTATTTAGAAATTATTGAAGCCCCTATAGTATTGAAGGAGCTTCATCCGGCTTCCGGGTTTGTAGGGCTCAGGGTTTTGGGTTTATGGGGTTAGGGGTTTATGGGGCTTAGGGCTTATAGGGTTTACGCAGTTTAGGGTTTATGGCTTTGTAGGGATATGTAAAGCATGTCTGTCATCACTCAGAGTTTAAGGAATGTCGTAGCAAAACGACTTGAACGATTCCTATGGAAAGCCTCGTGCACACCCACAGCTACAAGCCCTGGAACTGCTGGTGAGCGCTCAGTCAACAAGCTGATCAGAAAGGCTCTCCATACTGATGATGCTATACCCTTCATGAGTACTATAGACCTGAAGACCTGAGGAATTTCTGAAATTGAAGATTGAAAGGACCTGTAGAATTGAACGTGTCAGCGGTGCTTCTTGATTTTCTCTTTGAATCCTCACTCAACCACCCACAACCCTACTGGTGACTAAACAATGCCTACAGCTTGCTAGTTTGAATTCCGTAGTTGAACATACACCCAAAATCTTGCTCCAAGCCCCTACCCACTGACGGTGGCATAATAGGAATATGTAAAGGGCCGAATCTACTTGCCATTATCCCTCGTGGTGACTATTTGTGGGTGGGGGTCAAACCTGACCTAAGCCGCAGGTGAAACTGTAATATAGGGGCCTACATAATTACCAATAGTACTTTGGGGGATCCTTGTTGTTTGTGTATTCTTTTGGGCCCCCAAAACCTTATTCTAATTATTACGGCCCCTATGCCAAATCTTATAGTAGCCCGTTCAAGGAGCCTTATTCTAATTATTTAAGGCCCCTGTAGTAGCTAATCCGAAGCTTCCCCTAATTAGGTAAATAGGGCGACAGGTCGATCCTGTTGACCGGGAAGCAAGGTTGGGGGCCGTCAACCCGCAATTTGGCATAATCGTAGCATTGCCCTGGGAGCCTACTGAAACTGCTGTCCTTGAAAGGAAGATCTCCATAGAGAGAGAGAAAAAGCGAGAGAGAGAGAGAGAGATAAATATGACGAGAATTCTGGTCCCCTCTTGGGTCTTCAATTTACATGGTCTCCACACTCCGTGGTGAACTATACAACCCCTCACTCGGGGTCGGTCTTGTATAGTTGGAGAGCAATTCCATCCCCGACGATCGGTCAATAACTACCAGATCCTTGGATTCTGGGATGGTTTATGTAGGCCTTACTTAAAAATGGTCACTACCCAATCTTTAGGCAAATCAATGCATGGCACGAGTTGCTGGGCAGTTCGACCTGATCCTAAGTCGATAGCCGGAAGGAAGTCGCCAAGCTCGAATGCGTCGTCGCCAATGTTCGAACCGCTGACGCCGATGTCGGATCGAACCTGATCCAAGCTGCGTGATGTACAAAGACCCCCTCTGGAGAGGATAGTAGGGTTTTTAACAGACTTGTTCAGGTTCCATATTGATCTGGAGGAGTGTGTGTATCTTCATTAGCAGAAGCAGCTCCCGTAGCATCGCTCAATTTAGGGTTAAGGCGTTTAGGGTTTAGGGCTTTAGGGTTTAGGGTGACAGTACGGTTCAGGCCCTTGCAGCTAGCTACCGTACTCGAATCATGCACATAATCCGCGAATCAAGTGTGCATGACCGCTGCTTGAGTTCTGTGCAAAGCCAGGACTGCAGCTCGTGATGTTGAGGGTTTAAGGTTGAGGTTTCAGGGTTTACAGTTAAGGGGTTTAAGGTTCATAGCAGCCACGACACTGTGTCCGGTTGTCCGGATGCGGCGTTGTTATTATGTCCGTAGCATTTGACCAGGCCATTGTCCATGAGAACACACATCCTGGGCTCCCGGTGACGATGTCTGCATAACCACCCGATAGCCCATTAAAATAACATTCCCTCGTCCGCCCGCCGATCCAAAGCACATGTGACTTCCAGGGACAAGTTGGGCCCCATAATTCGGCAGGGGTGTCGAATGCCGTTACAACATAGCTGGCTAAGATTTTGGTAAAGCATCCGCAGGATACTAGTTTCGAGTCTTCAAGCATTTACATTGCCATCCGTTTGTATGCCATGGGGTCCCTATGTGAGCCAGGGTGCGGTCTGATTAGTATACAATGATATGTAATTTAGCTACATACTGCTACTATTCACTACAGCTGGTTATGACTACCATTCACTATTATGACTCATTATTGCCTATGTACGACTACTACTTACCATTCCCATTGCCACTATTTCAACAGAACTTAGCCAAACAAAAAACCCTGAGGTGCACGGGAGCAGTCAAGAATCGCATTAGCTGAAACGCCGATGTCCACAGCTGTTCTGCCAACGCCAAAATCGGCGGAGGGTAAATTATCACCCATTTGGTCGGCAGCATTTCCGATCGCACCTGTATTGCCCGTCGCCTGCATACCATTGTAGGTCTGGCCCCAGCACTTTACGGAATCATCGTCGAGAATGACGCAAGTTGCCCTTCCATAGTGGTAACCCGTGATTTTCTTCGGTGAATACCTGGGCTTTCGGCTGCTTACTAGAGGGGCCTTAATTATTAGAACAGGGATTTGGTGCCAATTTTACTATAAATATAATAAGGAACCCCCAAAATAGTGTTTGTAATTATTTGGGTGCGGGCGCATAGGGCGCCCCGCTGGGTTCGTGCTTAGAATGTGCGCGAGACTGAGGTTTTAGCATGATTTCTACAAAGAACCGGTTTGTAGACTCACCGAAGCTAATCGCATTTTTACGTTTAACAATATCATCAGGTGGCAACATCATTTTCACCGTCAGTAAGATTTTATCATCATTTTCATCAATTACTAATCATCATTATGATCATGGTCATAATCACCACCATTACCGCCATCAACATTTTCATCATTTAAAGCATCTTCATCATCATGACGACCGTCATCATTGTCTCTAACAACATCATGTTCACCGTCATTAGGATTTTTTATCATCATGTCTCATCATATGAGTAATCATCATATTGATCATGATCATAAACACCATCGTTACCGTCATCAACATGTTTGTCATCTTAAGCATCTTCATCATCATGACGACCGTCACCGGCTCGCAACTGCCCGCTCGAGAGGATATGCGACGGCCGGACGCTACTGAGCTCTCCCCCCCCACCCCCCTCCCCCCCCACCCGCGTAGTCCTGAACAGCAGCAAAAGCCCTTGGTTTGTGCAGTAAAAACACTAAAAACGCATGAAGTCACGGGGCGCCCTATGCGCCCGCTACCAATTATTTAGGCCCCTATATCAGTGATTAGTGGCTTAACAATTGGCATGTAGCTTTAAAGAGGCAACAACTTTACCAATGCAGATCGGTACGTTGCCAATCCTGCGTGTAGGAAGATGCAAACTAGGAGTGCTCTTCCGAACTTCCTTAGCAGCTTGGGAACTCCTTGACACTGGCTTTCTTATATTCATTCTCAAGCTCAAAAAGGCACCTCCCGAATATTAAAACCCCGCATCTCCTTGCTACTCACATACCGGGTTGAGCCCGGGTTGAGACTGTTTCTTGTTGGGATGGGGGTTTTAATATCGGAGCATGTTATTGCACAGTCGCAGGGAGTCACGGAAATCAGCAAGTCCATGATCAACTGTCAAAGCAGAGGGTCCAGCAAAGAACGCCAAAAGTCACCAACTGATCAGACAGCTTATGGATGAACCGACGATCGATGCGCCGCGAAACGGAGGACAAGAATGGGAAAGAATGAGCGAGAGAGAGAGAGAGAGAGAGAGAGAGAGATAGCGAGAGTGAGGGAGGGGGGAGTCGAAATCACAACCTGAACCTTTAATCGACACTTCTTGGTTTTGCAAGCGGGTAGTCTCCCAGAAGCCTTCTGTACCACTCCAATGCTATCAAAACCTGTTTGCGGGACTTCGATGACTCACCCCTAAATTACCCAACTTCTATAGGTTGTTACCAACTCTACATAAGCCCTGGTCCTTAACATAATACCTCTATAAGCTTTTATCAACTCTAAATGAAACTTAAGTCGTGAAAAACCCAGACCTAATTTCCTTTTTGCTGCAGGCTTGCTTGCAAGGACGCCTGGTAGTTTGCCTAATTTCCTAAAACCTGAACCCAACTTCCCTCGACCCTAAACATCCCGAACCCCTCTTTCCATGAACCCAAACATCCCTGATGAACACGAACATCCCGAAGCCCTATTGCCCTGAAACCAAGCAGCCCTGAATCCAAACGTCTCGAAGCCAAAGTCCGATAGAATTTATTAAATAGCATTTTTATACTGGTAATCATTAACATATATCGCAGCAATTACCGATGACATTAAACAGTTTGGTAAGACACGCCTTACATCCCTGAACCCCAAACATCCCGTAATCCTAAAGGCCCTGAACCCTAAATTGAAAAAGGACTCCCCGAGGCCCCTGTCGCATAGGCCAGCTTCTTTGGCAGCCTCAGGTAGGCGTTCATTGCAACGAAAACCAAGAGGTCACAAAGGGGTGCAGTAAAACTTAGGGTTTTGGGATTTTTTTTTTTTTTTTTTTTTTTGGGGGGGGGCTTTCCGGATTCAGGTGTGAAGTTTCAGGCCTGAACGTTTTGGGTTTTGGGTCCATTTCAGGCTTCGGCCTTGGGAGGTGAAGTGGCTTAGGGTTTAGGGTTCACAAAGGCTTAGGTTTTACCAAGGGTTTTTTTGACGGTTTAGGGTTTAAGGCTTTAAGATTCTGGGACCCGCGCGCAAGGACGTGGCCTTCACGATAGGAACAAGGATGGCAAGTTTTGCCAACTGCTGTCGTGACTGTGAAAAGAATTCTAGGTCCTAATACAAGAAACACCAATTTCGAGAAGATCCCTATGTGCTTTGGAGAGGATAAGAAGGTTGCTTACTCTAGGACTCGAGACTCGCCAACTTAGGAAAAGCTTGAAAGACTCAGCACTTTTAGAAGGTGGGCTTGGGGATTTCAGAGTTCAACTTTCAAACCATCTAAAGGCGGGAATATATGGGGATTTTGGCACGTAGTAGTAATGGCCATTATTCCTGGGAATACCCCAGCAAAGCCCAAATCCAAGCATCAAGGGTGCACAACTTGCATACCTCACGCCTTTGTCATTCTGCAAGGCAAATACTTCTTCCAGGGACCATCATGGCATGCAGTTAGTACAGGAAGGGAGTATGGCTCTGATATAATTTTTAGTATCCCGAGCCTACATGGGATGGTGACACCGGCTAGTCTAACCACTGGTATCAACTCGTACAACATCACCCTTTACTGTTTATGACTTACAGCGCTTCCGGTGTCTCTCGCCAGTGCTACCAGCACTCGAAATGGTCTCTTGACGCCTTGCACCCTTCAGTCCGTTTAGTGTCAAAGGAACCCCAAACGTTGAAGCCGAGACTCATGTCTCACTTGCTACTGTGCACCCTTGAGCTCCGCACGACATCACGAAGAAGAGCTCAAACAGCAACGACATCACCCCAACCTGCTGCCCTTGCAGCAAGGAATGGCTTGTACTGAAAAACACTAGCAATACTGTTACCAGAAGCCTCCAAAATCTTTACGCTGACATTCTCCAGCTAACGTACATCAGCTTTGATGTATGAGAACCGTTCGATAAGTGGAAGACTGTTGCTTTTGATCTACGGCGGGGCTCTGAATGAGCCAACTGTGCAGCAGCGCCGGGAAATTCCATCTGTGCAACTGTAAGAAACTGAGCTACTTCTTGGCATCAAGCAAGTCTGCATAACATCCGCGGTTCCTCAAAGACAATGGCCAACTCCTATCGCGCCAGGTTTCTGAGCGCATGCAGGCCTTCGCTAGCCTCTGTTTAGCCAGGAAGGCATGAAAGAGTGGATCCAGAAAGTACTCCCTATGATACCTAACAAGAATGTTCGGGATCATTATGAGGATCCCAGGTTTAATGCGGCACGCATGGGCGACAACGATGCAAACACAAAGCACAGGTAAGAATAACAATAACTACGGCAACAATGCCAGGAACTCCCTGAAAAAGGGTCTGAGACACCAGTCAGCAATGAGTATAATGAAGCTGTAATAGCAAGTTGGTCGTTACCTCATCTGTATATGGTTGCAGGCAAAGTGGAAGTACCAAGTAGAGCTACTGGCCGTCACCTCGCAAACTTTGGAACAGAAAGCGCGATCGCAAACTTTGGAACAGAAAGCACGAGCTGCTGGAGGTTCTTCCGTAATATCTAAGATGAGAAACCAATAAACTCAGAAACAAAAAAAGCCTTTAATGGTTCTTCATGCTTCGTTGAAGATATGCAAAGCCCTGTCCACTGTCAGCCCAAGACAAACAGAGTACGATTTCACCAAACAATTGACCTGTCTTGATTTTTGTAGAAGATCTGCCCAGATTACACACATTCCATGCCCCGCATTGCCAACAAAGGCCGCAGTCTTCTGGAAAGAGGTCCAAGTTGCAGTAGTATGTACGGATTATGGAAGACAGAGAACCGGGTGACGAGAAACCATACACCCTGAATAACATCTCGTCGAACCTCCTATTATCCCCCCGTAATATCCCCTGTGATATCCCTAAAAATTCCCCTAAAAAATCGCCTTTAACCGGTTCAAGCTATAGCTCAAAAAACCCCTTCTGGTCGGCTCCAGGCAAGTCCAAATCAAATCACACTTGAAATGCCTTGGAATATATGGGGCTTCTCCGTATTTAGGATTGAGGGTTTAGGGCTTAGGGTTTAGAGTTTAGGGCAAAGGGTTCGAACGATCGTCAAAAATGTGTTCGAAGTTCGATAAAGAGTTTTCTGCCTCCGCGCACACCAAAATCAAATCACAATGCGGCACTTTCACAAGGTGAGCA